TACAGCTCAAGTGTCCCAACTACTTTTGGCNCAGTCTTTGGGCACTATATATGGTAATGTTGTCCAAATATAGCACAGAGGCCCGCTCTTGAACGCTATGTCAGCCATTGTTGCGCATGAGCGAGGTTCGTTTACTCACAACCCACAACATGGATTCGGAATTTTATGGAATCGTTACTAGTATCATAATTATTAGTCTACGTTGAGCCTATTAGTGGTTAAACTTCCACAAGTTGTCTTCCTTGCATTGTTCCGTCGTTGTCAGCGTGTAAAAAGCGAGATTTTGTTTTTAGCGAAGAAATGTACGTTGGTATGGATTGTTCCCGCGAGCACAAACGCTTTGCGGCTTTGTGGAGGTGTTTTTACCCGCAGTTATCTCGTTAACTGAAGTGAAGTGATTGTGGTATTGTTAAGCCGCAAAATGCCATCTTCCAGTATCCCGGTTCCAGATAGGGACCTAGGAAATTCTCCATCTTCGCGGAAAAGCACGATGGAGGATTTACGGAGACACAACAACAAGCTGAGGTCGGATTTGGAGGCCGAGCGAACGAAGGTTCGTCAAGTTTTACGTGACAAGTCTGCAGAAATAAAGAGAATTCAGGACAATTTTGAGAAGGAGAAGCAAAAAGCGATCGAGCTTGCAACGAAGCGACTGTCAAACGAGCATGCGGCAGAGCTCAGGAAAGTCCGCGAGAATACGGCAAGAGAGAAAGATAACGAACTACGACAAGTTCTCAAGTTCAAGGAAGAAGAAGTTAAAACGATGAGGCAACAAATCAGCGACGAAAAGGAGAAAAACAGACATGCCGAGGAAGAATTGAGAAGGGTTTTAGTCGATCGGAGTAAAGAAGGAGACGACCATACTGAAGTGGAACGAAAATTACGGAGCGAAATCGCTTTGCTCAAGGAACAAAAACATAAAGCGGAGGAAATGTATCGAGACAAATCTTTGGCTGATAACGAAAAAGCTGAACTCATAAGACGTATGAGAGCCGATCACGAAATCGAGCTTCAGAAATTTGTAAAGGACTCTAAGCGTGAATCAATCCATAGTTTACAGCAAAGGAGGTTGACTGAAAAAGCGTTAGAAGAGAAAGCGCACGAGTTAGCTTATAAAGATCATTTAGCAAGGAAACTTGAAGCTGAAAAGGATCACCTCCAAAGACGATTATCTCAGTCTGGAGACCTGGAAACATTGCGGCGATCAACTCTTCGAACTAGCGCTTCGTTTGATCCAGGTCTCAACGAACGTTTAGAAGAAAGCGTAAGTATTTTACCTTAAAAATTGTTTTAGTACAAAAAATTAACGCTTGGGTTATTTTTATTTTGTTATTTTTGTAGTGGATTTAAACTTAATTGGAAATGGCTTCCAACTGCTCTATGTCGCTAAACTACAAATTGATTTTTATACGAAGTCCAATTGTCTCGGGTTTAAACAACAGCCTTTAAAGCCAAGCTTACTCTTCCGACTGATTTTTAATCATGTTTATGTCTGGTGTTAAGGCATGGTGATACTTTTGTTAGTTCTTTTTACTTCCGTTGATATTGTTGTAAATAAATCGATAGCTTCAAATTGGATTAGATTTAAAAGCCAGCTATCGAAGAGATACGGCCCAGTAGTTTCTCTGGTAGTAAAATTTGTAAATAATGCGGATATCTTTCTTTGCAAACTTCATCTTCCAGAAATACTGTGCAGATATGTTATAATTTCTCTAGTAGAAATTTGGCTGCGGATCTTGAAAATATTAAATTTGAAGAGCCCGTTGATAGACCATTTAAATCGAATCATGGCTTTTGATGAGCACACAGATAGGCAGAGAAAACAAATGATTCAAAGTATAAAAATATCCATTAGTACCATCCTTCTAAAAGTTTTATTGTCTAGTTGGTTGTTTACTGAAATGTGCTACCATCCGTTTGCTCCTCTAAGATACTACATATATCGTTTTCTCCAGATTTTAACTGTCAGTTGACATCAGAATAAAATTGTTCTAGAAAGTACAACAGACATTTTGTAGATGTATGATAGATACAACTTTTCATCATCAATATTTATGGTATAAGCGCAGTTTTTGGCAAAGAAAGTTTGGGGCTGAAAAATGTTTTGTACTGTATCGTGTGGCTGGATGCCGTATGTCATAATATTGTGTCGGCAGAATACGTTTTTCATTGTACTCTTAGTGTATGTTTTTATGTATAAATCATGCTTAATTTTCTAATTGAAGATTTTGGTGTGTTTAATGAGCGTTCAAATGGCCATGAATTTATTATATTTTTGGTTCTATTTTTCAAAGCACAAAGTTTCTTTTGCCAGTGGGCAATTTTAGAGCATCAATGTGTTCATTAACAAACATACAAGAGTTTCAGATATCACAAGGAACACTATATTTGTAATGAACGATAATGGATTTGTGTTTACAGTTGAAAAGACTCTCACAGCAGAAGAGTGCTTGGCACTTGCTTTGACCTCCCAAGGTTAACATACTATTATCACGCTACAGGGTTTACATGTACTTTTTCTACTACACTTTCAGGGAATTTAATCAGTTTAAATGGAAACCTTTACCTTTGAAATCCTGGAAAGACAATATTTCTGTTTGGTACCAAAATGATATCAAGCAGAGTAGGGATTCAAGAATATTTTGCATAAAAAGAAAGCTGTATGACCTAGAGGAAAAAAATATTTTGTTATGGTTTAGTTAAAATAGAAAGCTGACTCACATGCAAAGTAATGATTATTGTTGTACAAGTACATATGATCCTGTATAAAGTAACCAGAAAAACAAGTGTGCGGATGGATATTTTTCCACTTTCCACAGTGTTTACACTTACTTTTGTGTTTACTTTACAAATTTGTCGGTGTAGGGATTCTCAAAGTGCAAGTGCGAGCAGATCTGCCTTTACTGGATCTAAAAAAAGAATATCAAATTCATACACAAGTGTGTGCTTTGTGTTTCCGTCTGCATGTATGCTAAGCTTGAATTTTGTTAATGCAAAAAAGGCTGTGCAATAGTCAGTAAGGGTCTTCAAGTTGTTATGTAATGTAACTTGCCCCTTGCTGTTTTGATGACAAGCTGTATAGAAGGCCAGGGTCCACCGCATGAAAGGGTCTTTCAAACAAAATTCACTATACAGCTTTTAAGGGTATTGTTGGAGATATAACTGACCACTTGAAAGTCATGAATATTACGTGCCCACACAGTCAGTTACTACTTGCTGACTTGGGAGAACTGGGGGGATTTTCTGATCTGGCTCATCATCCTATAAGGGGCAGTTCACATCAATTTGCAAAACACTTATCTTAAGAATCTTATCTCCTTCCCTGTATAAATATGTTAAATGTAACTTTGATTCTGCTCTGAAAACATAGGTGGAAATGTTCCATTGTTTAGTTAATAAATAATTATTCTAAGTAAAAATGTATGTGGTAAACATACATGCACATATTTTTGAGTTGCTAAAATGAATTTGTTTCAATTTGTACTTGCAGCCTCTTGTGAAGAAAGACAAAGAGAGAGAATTAAAGAAGAAAAATGCAGAGTTACAATCAAAGATGGAAAACCTGGAGAAAAAGTGTGCAGTATTAGAGGTTAATAAAAAAAATACTTTTTTCCTATGAATTCTTGACCAAGAGAGCATCTCAAGCTCCCATGTTGGTATTTTCAAACAACAGAAGACTCATTTCCTGAAAAACAAAAATGTCATTGTTTGGAATACCAATATGGTTGTCTTGATATCAAGGTCTTTAGTTTGCTGTACCTTTTTGTACTCTTTCTTTTCTAAAGATACAATGTGTATTTCAAATGTACCTGGCCCTACAAAGTTTTGATCTGGATTCTTGGAAAATGAGAGTGCTATTGTTTGTAGCAGAAACTCAGACTACTTGTTTTCCAAATAATGAGAGTAGAATTTGATGCATAGTGGATCACTGAAATTATGTTGTGCTAGTTAAAAGAGTTTCAGACTGGCATTCTGATGATGTCTCGTTTTCAAGAAACAAATGTGTCAAATGTTTGAGGGCAAACACTCTCCTAGTCGTACAGTTGACTTTAACAGTGATCATGATCAAGATTAATAATAAATCATTCCCAAGACAAGGGAGTTTTTTATTTTACACCATTGAATTCTCCCATCTTGCAAAATATATGAAGACTTGTAAGCTAGATTTGATTGTTGAAATGAGAGGGTAAAGTCTTGACTTGTACTTGTAGTCAGTGAGTGGGAATATTTCTCCGTGTTATCTTGGCATGCAGTGCAGTCTTGTGTTTGATCGGTGCTTTATAAACAAAATATATTTTTCGGCATTTGTTCTTCAGAAAGAGGCATCAAAGAGTGGCAACTTGAAAGCAACATTCATGGCAGAGGAAAAGATCAAGAAACTGAAGAAGAGGAACACTGAGCTGGTATCCATTGCACGGCAACTTGAAGACAAGGCAAAGAAACTTCAAGAGGAAAAAGCTACTGCTCAAGTATGTACTGTGGGGGAATTCCTACATACTGTAGGGGATTCCTAAATACTGTACATAGTTATTCCTGGTTTATTTCACTTTTATAGATTGTTGTAAAAAAGTACTTGTAACATGCCTCTTTTGTCTGTAATGAATTTTGTAAATACTACCTCCTAGTACCATAATGATTCATTTAGTGCCCCAGTTCACACTTTGCAAAGTAGGTTTATTAGCTAGTTGCCACCACTTAATGAGAACCTTGACTGTTAATAATCAGACATTTTTGATCAATAATGTTTCTTTAAAGGAGTTTTAGTCGATCAGTATTTTATTTGATAAACTGAAATTGTATGCTTTATCAACCCTAGAAAGATCCCAAGACATTCAATTTTACATGCAAATTTATAGAAATCATTTTGTATGAATAGTAAATTACATGTATTTCTGAGCCACTTGTTGAATATGGATGATTCCTTACGTTTCTCAGAAATTAGCTGAGGAAAACAGCTCCAACAATGCAGGTGTGGAACACATGAAGAAGATGTATGCAAGACAGAGGGCTAAAGATCTCGCTGAACATGCAAAATCATTACTGTCTAAAGAGAAGGAACTAGATGAACTGAGAAAGCAGATTTTATCACAACAGAATGACCAAGTTTTTCCGGTATGGATCACGATATTGAGATTTAAGAAATGGAAATGTTGACATCATAGAGCTCTTCTCTGATACAAAATAGTAGTGTCATTGTACCATGGTACCTTGAGCTGTCCACATTCATTTAGGATCAATCCAGAATACTGTTGAGAATTATTGAACTAAGCATTAATTTTGTTTGGGAGCTATTCACTCGTTCCAGAATATATGGATGGATTTCTTTCTTGCTTATTCTTATTTCAGGAGCAAAAAAGCCACAGGATATTGCCATGCCATATTATTAATATGGTGTTATGCAGTCAGAATGAACATGCCCCTACAATGTATTACCCCCACAAGGTTTTGGGTCAGAGGTCAAAACCCAAGGAGGCATCTTGGGAGTCCTTGTGTAAATTATGTGGATTCAAATGTTGAATGTTGGTAGATAGATTTGTTTACCAGATGTAATCTCAAGTTTAGTGTCAAGGCACACAAGATAGTCTAGGGTAAACCTTCCTAGGTGCGCCAATGCAATCTCTGCAAGATGAGACCCCTAGAGTCTTAGGTGCTGTTGTGTTGTTTGCAGTTTTTGTGAGTTGTTTTGGGATATTTCTATACCACTATATCATTTTTTTTTTCTTTTAAATATCACTGGGATGAGCAAAAGAATTGTTATGAAAGCACCAGATTGAAATAATCAAATCCCAAACTTGGTTTTTTACAAGCCAAAAATCAACAAGACTCAACCAGGATCAACCAAATGATCTACAGGTAGAATTGACAGACTTGATCTGGAACCCAAAAGTCAAGAAAACAGTAATATTTTCAGCCATTACAGCCCAAATCATTACCTAAATTTCCAGACATTACCTCGTTATAGTAGGTTATGAAATAGTGAATCAAATACAGTCACAGCTTGCGATCTCCTTATCTGTAAGTTAGATCTCTTATTGTAAGATATTAATGTAGGCCTCTATGTACAGTACATTCTTCCACAGTGAATGTTTCTGTTTTCTTAGCATGTTTCTAATGTTGGCCCTTAAATTCTCAAAAGTGACCAATATTTCATTTCTCCCTACTATACCAGTGTATTATGAAGTGGACAGGTAATGAAAATTAGGAGACTAATCAATGGCTGAGAAGTATGGTTTTGATGTACCATCAAATTATCAAAATTAATGACTTGACTTTCTTGGCTTTCTTTCCAAACCTTTGATCCTCTGAAAACATGTAGTTCTTTTCTCTGATTGTGTTCAGGCTTTTAGCCAGAATTTAAAAAGAGGTCATCCAAATGTGCTATAGGGCCTGCTCAAATTTACAAGGCAACATATGAAAAATAAAACAATTTTCCTTAGAAAGTGGCCATCCACAGGATGCCCGGACACCCATCTGGCTAAAAACCTGATTGTGGTGATAAATCAGAGGATATTATGTCGCTGAAAAGTTTCTGTTTTCTCACTGCACGCTGTGTAGATAATGTATTGATATTGTGACAGGAAATTAGATGTGATCGTTCATGGAGATTAAACTGGTTTAATAAACTGAAGGAAACAATAATGTCCATATACCTCCCAGCTGATTTCAGTGCCAAAACAACATGTGTTACACACTTGAGAAATATTGCTCACATATTTCCCATTCTGGCATGTAAAACATGCTATGAATATAATCAAGGTCATGGAAAAAGGAAACCTTTACTGTCGGTCTCTCTGAGATTTTTTTTTTTTTTTTTTGGCTTGAAGGATCTTTTTCCTTGGTGATGGTATTCTGTTCTAAGCATTGGTATTAACATATCGGGTGAAGATTTAGGGGGCGTCATTGTTCTAAGTGCTATTTTTGTTACACCAAGAATGCAAAATTCGCCCGGCTGGAAAAGTGGTTATCATTCAAGGCATGCTAAATTTAATCACTTGGGTTCAGAGGAAGTCATGTTGAAACATCGTAAGAAGGCCAGGGAGAGCAACCTTGTTTTGCCCAATTCTAACCAGGAGGTATTGATAGTTGTCATGTTTTACAACTGTTGAATGATTAGGGATAAGCAGCTTAGAGATTTTATTAGCGGAGCAGTATGTTTAATACTCATGGATCTGTGATGCCCACAAAGGAATGCAAACTGAAACAATATCCTGACATGAACATTGATCAAAACCTAATAGCTGTTTACATGAATTATTTCTGGTACGTGTTATACAGTGTTAGACTTGTGTATGACAATACCAGTCTGTAATTGGAGACTAAAACACTTTTTTTTGTGATCATCGTTTTTAATTAATGGCCAAAATGTTTAGGGAAAGATCTAGAGAAGTGTGTGTCGCATGGATTATATTTACAGTATATCATCAAATATTAGGAAAATGACTTTCTTGTGATGTATTTTAAGAAGATTGTTATTTTGTTTTGTGTAGTGATATACAGTGTAGCCCCTCCGTCCTTTGTTTATGGGGTACTAGGCAGAACTAGGCGTTTTTCTCTTAATACAAAAATTTTCAGAGCAATTACATAAGCACCTTAAAATTCTATGTGATATTTCAGGCACTCCAAGATGGAGTAATATCCAACTCCTTTGAAATTTCTTATGAATTATTGTGCTGAGAATTTTAAATGAAAAGACAAAACTTTTGCTGTGCTTTAATCTATTTACATGTAGGTAACATGAAACTATAAATTTTTGTGGCCAGCATACTGTGATTTCTAGACTTAAGGTCTAGGATACAGAGATGAGATAATTGATTCCTTTCAGTTTAAACTCTTCCTTTGTTTTTGTTTACAATTATTTTACTGTCTGCACTCTAGTTTATCTTTAATCCCTATTACATTCTCCCAAAAATTTTTTTCTGTCCTAAGTAAACTTTGCTTTTGCCAATAATATTTTTAATAGCCTTCATATCATTTCGCTATTGATCTTTTAATTTGTTAGTGTTTATAGCTTAGGCTTTCCAATTAATGCGTACAAGATTCAAGACCAATTTGGGGTGCAATTATAGTTTTAGGCAAAGTTGTATCCTTGTGCAGTTAAAATGCCTATTATTACAGAATAATTGTGATCACAATAGAAGATATAACAGTATGTCTGATTATGCAATCAAATATTTCAATGTTTTGCTCTCTTTTTTGCCAACAGAAGGCAAAAGTAGAAGAACTTCAATCAATCATACGTCAGTCAGCCAAGGAGCGATTGTGGTTGGAGAGACAAATTTCAAATGGCAATTCTCCTCGCTCACCCAGTCCTCAAGTCTTGGCAGGAGATCTGGCAGCAGACATCAAGAAAAAGACAGAAAGGCTTAAAATGTTAGAAGATGAGAACAACAACTTGAAGTCTTCAATGACACAACTACAGAAGGCAGAAGCTGAAAGTTTGAAACTGGTAAGACTGACTAAGTTAGTCACAAAAAAATTTTTTGGAACAATGTGGTACATAATTAGCATTCATAAAAATTATTGTTTATTATCTAGTCTGAGGCGATCAATATAATTAAACTTGTTTTTTTTATCTGTTTCTAGAAGGTGATCTTACAATACAATTTGCCAGATCTAGTTTAGAAATTTTCAAAAAGAAATAGGATAAAGCTGTCGAAGAATACACATGTAAATGTATGGTCAAGTGTGACTCAAAATGAAGGCACCCTGTACAGCTGTTTATATTCATGTATGTTACGCAGCTCAGACAGTTCTGTGCCATAAACATGTTCATGTCTGATATCAGCTTCTTTCTTAAATTACAACTACTGGTAGTTTAATAAGTTACCGGTATGTTTCTGTTAAATTTCACACACAAAGTCATAACTGACTGGGTTTTTTTCACTGTGGACAATAAGATACTGTTAGACAATATTGTAATTTATTGACACTGCACTTCAGAGTTCTGTTGAAAATTGATATTTTCACTTTGTATCAGTGTGTGTGTGAATTTGGAAGACTAACGTGATTAGCCTAATCTTAGTGTAGTTAAGCAAATATGTTACTATTACCAAGTGAACATGTTACCTTCCCAGGTAATAACAATGGCAAACAATTATTAAGAACAATGATTTTGGCTAGATAAGTCTTCCTGACTAAATGAACATTGTGGATTGTATTCCTGAGTAGTGTGCTGTTAATGTTTCAGAGAGTATATCTTTCTCAAGCTTTTTCAAGTGTTGAATATTATACTCAATTCTTGATTGGAAAATAGAATAACTGCCTGAGGTGAATAACCATTGTTTAAAGGGCATTATCCTTAAATTTGAAGTGGTTTGTAGGTTATAGCCCTTTGATCTTAAATTACCAAGGAGATATTTTCAAATGTTACTGGTATTTTTTCTTGAGGTGAATAAATTTGATATAGCCGAACTTTGCTTAGACAGACTCAATCATACATTTGCTCGTTGCTTTTCAAAAGCTGTACAGTTACTAAAATATGTGATTTGTTCTCTGCCAATTAAATTAACAGCTGCTGCGTGTTTTCTGATCAGCACTACACTGTAAGCCTAGCAGAGTTGATTTTAAGTGGTGCATTCTTAGTTTAAATGTTTGCCAAATTGCTGGTGGACAAACTTAGCTTATTAATTATTCATTAACCAGGGGATCTCATCTGGAGATCTACATTTTAATAATGAAAGTTTTGCCTTGCTGCTGAGAGCGTGTGAAAATAATGAAAGGATGTTATTTTTGCAGGCTGAGGAACTCAAGGAGAAGGAGAAAGAAAACCACAAGCTTGTGAATGACTTGGAGGAAAAACAGACAAAATGCTCCAAACTGGTAACTGCTTTCTATTCTTAACACTACAATCTCCATGTACAGTAATCTGCCATTCTAAGCTGTAGCCAACTACTTAAACTGTTCACTAGCACAAAATGTTACAGATGACTGTAAGTTAGTTTTATTAATACCAGAAGCAGTGTTGCATGCAGTGGCAGAATTGGATCCTCTTGTGATAGCATACATGTATGGACCTATTTTCACCAAATGAATAATGCCAGCTTTAAGCATGTGTATGCAATGGGCAGCCACAAAATCACAATTATACCTTTGAATCCCCAGTGTATTATTCCATTGCCATGTAATGTCTACTGATTGTTGTGCATGGCAGAAAGTGTGAAGTATATGGTTTGATAGTTTATTAAACAGTGGTACAGTGGTTTCATTTGTATCACTGAAGCACCAATGAACAAAAGTTTTAATTTAGGTTTAGAAATGTGATTGAACTTAACATGAACAAACAAAGCATCCCGCAAGCAGGTCTTAAAATAAATTGTTTAATATATTGTTACATGCAGCTCATAAAAAGCCTTACATTTGCAAACATGAAAAGTTACATGTATTATTTCTCTTACTGTTAGTGCACGAGACATACAAAATACTTCTTTGCACCAGTCGTGATTTAAGGCATTCATTTGGACAGGAAGCACTTTGACTTTGGGCCTTAAGTAATTAAAGTGCAGCACTTTAAATGAATGTAAATGCTATCAACCAGCCAATAATATTTTTTCCAACTGAGGGAATGACATGATCTTGCTAGGGTAAAGCATGATCCAAGTTACGATAATTATTATTCCAAGAAAGAAAAATTTCTACCAAACTTACATACTAGGAGATTAGAGAAGTAAACTCATTTTATTTATATTTTAAGAAATCATTATAGCAATTTTTTATAATATATTCTTTCACGTTTCCCATGATAATAATGTTAACATGGGTCTTGCAACTTCTTCCTTATTTTAAAATACATACTAAAAATCCTATGTTGAAATGAAATGAATTTGAAATAATTTTAGAACTCAGTTTTAATAATTGGATTTTTGTTTTTCTTAACCATTCCAAAGGGTGTTTGTCTCTTATATATTCAGAAATGAAACTTCTAAATGCAGTTTCTTTCCTTCCTTCCTTGGGTAATGATGATGAATTACTACATTTTATTCTATTTTGTAATAATAGTATAATGTGCTTCTCACTATGGTTGTGTAATGGTTTTAGTGGTTTTGGTTTATGGTTTATATTTCACTTCTAATCAGGAACATGAAAGAGAAAGATTTGCTGCCAAATGTACAATGCTTCAGAAGAAGAACGCTGAAATGAGCAAGAGGATGGCTGAATTGGAAGAGGTAAGAGTCTGTTGCTGTGCTCTGCTCCTTAATCAGTTTGCAAACTCAGTAAGCAGGGGGTCCTAAATTCATGTTTGAATTGAGGAAACAAAACTATAGAAACTAAAGAAATGAAAACTCATTTTCAAGTCTGTCAAGCAGAAGGATATCAAGAACCAACTCAAGTATTATTTCTGTTTGCTTCAGAGAAACCATTGTACTTTTTAATCATAATTTTGCACACGGACTAGACCCATGTGGGCTGCTTAATATAATCTATTTCTTATCCTAGTGGTGCCTTATGGTAACCTAAGACCATATCATTCTGTTCTATTTAACCAACTAAAAGTTTTATGCCTATTTGCTAAAGATGGAAGAGGAGTTTGGTAATTTGAAGGAAAAGCTAGAAGTTTCTGAAGTGAAGTGTGGCTTGCTGACAGATGAATGTAACAAATTAAAACACCAGTTGGAAGGACTTCTTCAAGTCAAGGAGGTGAGAGCCTAATGGCCAATGTAGTGGGCTTTTGATTCTTAACAAATTTAAGGAGGGAGGGGAGAAAGAGGGTAAGGGGGAGGGTAGATGGAGGCAACGTAGATGGAGGTACGTGTAGGGTACAGCAAGGGAGAGAGACTGATGCATTTTCTTGATTGTCATCGTACACATATCTGACTTGAGATCCAGAAAGTTGAAGTCTGGTAGGTTGCTGTGTCATATTGTTTAGGAAGGCACCTTATGTGCTTACAAGTACAATACATATAGCTTCAAACTAAGTTAAAGTATAAACCCATGTGAACTGGTTAACTGGTTAACAAAAATGTTTGGGGATAACTTGCGTTGGTATAGGATTCCTTCTAAGGGGAGTAGTGTACTGTGGTACTCTCGCTCTTTTTATGCTGTGGAGACAGGAGTTTATGATTTTTTAAGTTTCAATGTTGAGATTTTTTTTCAGTTTACAACTTAATGTAATTCATCTCCTGAACAGGATCTAAAGGCAATGGAACAACAAAAGAAGATGATAGAAAATGAACATCTTAGCAGTCTTGAAAAGCTTAAGGAGAGAGAAGAGGAGATTAGACAACTCCACAAGGTGATGATTGGAGCTATTAAACCCTTCAATGCATGGATGCAATGAGTAACTTATTTTTCCTTTGTAAATCAATAGTACATTTAATATCTACGAGATTACAATACCACTGACAGCATGCCTATCTTTATATACAGATCCAGGAAGAGGCCAATCGAGCTCACGAGATGGCTGTGACGTCATTAGAAGACACGGTGCGTAGTTTGGAGCAGAAGTGTATTGATGCTGAAGAGAACAATATCAACCTGAAGAAAGAGATGGAGGAACTGAGAGAACTGGAAAAAGCCAGTATCAAGAAAAAAGGAGAAATCTCTCACAAATCCACTCAGACCACATTAGAAACATTGAACAGGGAAATTCAAACTGCATTGGAAAATGAAGGTAAGAAGAAAAAACTGTTGCAGTAGCTGCCAAAGTCATTCATTAGTACAAGTATATGAAGGCTTTCTTTCAAAGTGAAGACCAACCTACCTTGTGGCACCTGAGAAAGTTAGAAAAGTAAATGTATGTGTGCATACTAAAATGTTTTTGTTTTCTTTCTCAATAAAGTAGAGTGCCAGTCACATGGAGACAAATACCAACATTATTCATTTGTATTTACTCAAATTTTTCTTTGGTAGTAATCATGGCTGCACAGTCAATTAAATGTAGAGAGTATTACTTCGTGCTGATGCAACTTTAAATTCTTATAACAACCATTAAGAAAACATATGACAATCTCAAAGGGGAATAAGAGCAATATAATGCATTTAAAATTTGGGATGAAAAGGAAAATCTACCCTGTGGCAAGCTATCAAGCCAATGAAAACAACCATGACCTGTTAAAAACAGAAGAAACAATATGCTAGCCATACATACTAACAAGGCATGTGCACGTGTAAGTGTCAAATTACGTGGCGTATGTTTTGGTTCGCCTATTTCTGAGCTGCGGTGTAATATCATTTGAAGCAGTTGTATTACATTTACCTCTGTATTTATCTAACTCTGGACTTATTTTGTAACAATCCACAGGTAAAGGTGTTAATGGCCAGCCTTCACTTGGTGTAAGTCTCTCTCCTCACAAGCCTTCCAGTAAAGCTAAAAATGTCTTATCCCCTGACATCACCCCGACCAAATCTGTTGTATCTGAATCAAAGGTAGAGTCTCCCCACATCTCCCTTGTGAAACAAAAACCTGAAATGGAAGTGAAGCCAAGTGGTAAGAGTGCAGCAGAGTCAGCATCTGGGTCAGAAGATATCTTGGATGCGCTTGCTTTAAGGATTGATCAGCTGGCGGCATCTGATAGTGAAGATGATTTATTTAGCGGTATGTTTACTTTACTTACAAATGGCACAGAAATATATGACTAGCCTCTTCAAGATGTTCAGTTAGTCGGGGTGCAGCATGAAAAATGGCAAGCAGTGTGAGAAACAGTGGGGGAAAAATAGGGGAGAAGACTGTGTAGCGAGAGAAAGGGAAATAACTTTCACTTTCTCTCGCCATGCCTCTGCCCTATTTTTTTGCTCACCATGTTTCGATTTTTCACACTGTGTCCCAACTAACTGAATGCTGGGGAGAGGGTAATGTATGACTTACTGTGTAGAGCATGTTTCTTTAGTCAGGTCTGACATGCGAGTCATCAATACAGAGGAAAGTGAAGTTATGATAATGAAAAATGTTCAAAATCCACACAAAACAGCGTGGCTGCCTCGTAGAATCTGTGTTGTCCAGTACGTGCTTGACAAGAAAGAGTACGTGTATGAAGTGTATCTGCACATGCACATGTGCGTGAAGACTGTGCATGGCATCTTTTGTTCTTGTGAGGACTTACAGTAGATGGCAAGAAAATTTTTTGAATCAAAAGTTCTCTTCATAGGAGGAGATCGTCTTATTTATGTGAAACAGAAGTTGGAAAGTCTGTTGTAAAGTATAAAACAATCATGATGCATGTGACAATTTCTGAGAACCTCAGTCAGTATTTTAAGCTAAATGTAATTGGTTTTGCTCAGATGCCATTTCATTGACCTCTTAAATTTTCATTTGTAGAAAAAGCATATGAAGACCAAATGGATGATGTCCAAGAAGAGAACAAATCCAACAAGAGACCTGAACTGGATCTCAGTGACTTAGCTCAGCGCATTGATCAAGTAGCAATCGGTGATGAAAGCAGTAGCTCGATCAGTACAAGAGAAAGAGGGTGCAGTGATGCCAGTCAGGATTTGACAAGCATGGCTGAGGGAGATATGGGTGACCTGGAGGATAATCAGCCTGATAGCTCTGCTCCTGAGGATGAGCAGGTTGAACACTCTCCACATCAACCCATTGGTGTGTATGATGATGATGATGATGATGACTTTGACGACGACGACGAGGGTGATATTTATAATTAACCCTTCATGAACATGTGCTTTAGCATTATCAAGTTTAGATGTGTTGTACAAGATTCACATTGTATTATTTTGATGACCTTTACTGACGTTGTACATAGTTTTTCAGGAGCTTTCAAGCTCTTTACATTGTATCTTTATGACATTGACATGATAGTAAACAGCAGTTAGTAGTTTATCACATTGTGGAATTGCAGGCTTGAAAATTTGGTCAGGACCTTTTTGTTACGCGTCTTGTTTTGTGGAACATAGTCGAGGTCCGAGGTATACATTGAACTGCATCAAATATCACAGAGAAAATCATCTTATTCAATTGCCTCTGTACTTGCAGTGTCACTTTCCAAGAGTGATTAGTATCTTATTTCTTATTGCAATATTAATATAATGTCAAGCAGTTGGGTAATGAGAATTAAGAAGATCATCGTGGGGGCTGCCTTGGCATACCACCAAAAACTCTATTTACTCTATCAACCCCTATTAACCTGCCACCTATTAAATGGCCACTGCTATTAGATGGCCAGTCCCGATGAGAGTTTTTCTATTGTTTTTACCTCTATTAAATGGCCAACCCCTTTTAAGTGGCCACTATCCATTTCCCCGAGGGTGGCCGTTTAATAGGGGTTGAACTGTATACTGGAATAATCAGATATGTAAAATAATAAAATGTTGTTTTATCTCTACCAGGTACACTGAATGTGCATATTGCCAAGCCTAATGAACAGATGTCTGCAGTAGACAGCAACAAACCAAGTGCTGATGAGGAGGGACTTGACAATAGATATCTGGAGGGCGATTACAGTGAAGTGGATCCTGCCATACTTGAAAAGCTGGCAGTGTATATAGCGAGATACAGTTATGACCCCGTGCAGCATTCACCCAATGAAAACCCCGAGATGGAACTAGCATTCCAGGCTGGGGATTATCTGTATGTGTTTGGTGAGATGGACGAGGTGAGGCTAGTTGTTGAATTGAACTTCTCGTTCTGAGAAGTCTGCCAAGGTGATAGATAACAGCAAAAATTAAAACTTATTATTTTTATGCAATGTTTGCACAGTCTGTTTAAATAAAGGTTAAACAGGGCTGTCATTTGGGAGCTTAAGCAACGACGACGATGCCGAGGACGACGCCTAGTCAAAAATGAATTTATGTTTTACAAGCGAAATTCGTGATTTTCTAGATCAGTTCGGTACGCCAATGACCCTAAAAACGTACTCAGGCTAAATATACAATGACAGCGTTCAATTCCAAACGGAAATACGAAAAATTAGCTGTCGTTATCCACGTTCAGTAGACGACGCAGAACTTGGTCATTTCGCGTTGTTATTTTGCAGAGGACGGGAAAGAAATGTACAAAGATTTATAACGCACGTGCACAGCTATTGTTTTCCTCATTGAACCTTTTATTTTGTGACGTTTTCGTTGCCGTCGTCGTCGTGGTTTGCTTAAAGTTCCGTAATAATGGCCATAACCCATAACACCTGCTATGGTTAAGTATGTTTAACCGGCCCTTGATGCTATGGGTGAACTTGCCTGTTGTTGTTACTATTCACTCGTAAAGTAACAAGTTTATTACGGTTGTGAAGCTCAAGGCTACAGGTGTATCAAAAGTTAATGACAGCCCCGGCTGAAAGGTTTGATTCTTGTTCTGGAAAACGCATCTGAACTCAGGAGCAAAATGAAGGAGTTCGATTTTGAAACTGCGTTGTAAATTTGTCTAGTCAGTCTAGCATAGTGATTCAGTTTCAACATTTTGCGGAACTAACATTTCGATTTACCAGAACATTGCTTTTGTTTGAAATTTCAGGATGGGTACTTTTTGGGTGAACTGATGAGCGGCCAAAGAGGACTTGTGCCCTCCAACTTTGTTGAGAAAGTTGCAGGTAATGTTCTACAACTCCCATTTCTCCCCCCCCCCCCCCCCCCCCCCCCCCCCCC